AAGATGTGCTTTACTTTCCTACAAAAAGCCCCTTAACTCTGTGGGGTCACTCTGCTTGGTTTCCAGCAAGACCCTACATGCTGCCTAACTCCCACCTGAACTACATTCTGCATAGGCCTGAGCTCCAGAGCAGAAGCAGATCCCTTAAGACTCCCTTCACAAAGGCATCTCCAGTTTCTAAGTACACTATTTACTCAGAACAGCCGACAACTCATTCTGTCAATGTGGCAGTCTCTGGGACTTGCCCTCTGCGGAGGTCTTGCATGAGTGCCCAAGGACAGAAAACACCAAAAGCCCCAGAAATGGACCGGCACACATGAGAGACAACATGCAACTCACCAAAGTTCCCGATGTGGCATGGAGACCTGCACTGCCCAAACGCTTCCCTCACTGCCTCTGCCCTTTCCTCAAGGCTGCCCTGATACATGGAGCCTTGCTCATGTAACCCATGCAGGCACTGAGCTCCCAGTGCTACACACTCATGGCCTGCTCTCTTGAGGATGGCTCAGAGGGGTGCTTCCTCACCGCAGGGGACCTCATGCAGCTGTGGGCATGGCTGCCCCTGAGATAATGGGGAATGCCACCAACAGCCTTGAGTGTCCCTAAGTCCCCAGCAGTCCTGTGAACAGTGCTGGAGTTCTCTGGGACCCCCCCAGTGACCCCAGAACAGTCTAAGAGACCTTAGGACCAGCTCCCACTCCTACAATAGGTAGCCTCCCTCTCTTGAATAGTGTCCTTAGGCACTTCTTACTGAATGTAAAAGGACTGCAGAACCCACAGCCGCAAGTGTAAAGAATAAAGCAATTATTTATTAATTCATGCACCTAACACCTGGGGTTGAGTTTGCGAGTTTGCTCAGTGCCAGTACGGTCACCCTTCCCTTGTGAGCTGTGAGTCTCCTCTTCCACTTTTGCCTTTGTGGACAGGATGCAGCTCTTGTATTTGAGAGGGAGATCCGATCCTGACGTCACCCATTTGTGCATCTGCCCCACTCCTTGACTAGGACTCTGCAAGATATCTGCACCGCTCTCATGTCATCTGCCACCTCAGCAGTCTGACCCAGTGCACCATGTCTGCATCGTATCAAGCTGGGACCTTGGATCAGAGCACAGAGCTCAATGCTGGGTGGTTGGAAGGATACTGTAGTGCTCCTAACCATAAGACTATTGTATGATCAAGTAGTTCAAGTCAAACAGACCCTGCTAGAAAGCCCTGTAACTCAACAGTGTGCCCAAAGGCTGAGTCAAGAGCAAGCTGCTGCTGCTGCAGAGAGTTGGAAGATGAGCAGAATGAGGCTGATGCAAGAAGACACCTGTCTACATGAAGACAGATCTAACGGTAAATTGGGTAGCACATGCATGAGTCACACTGCACCAAATGACAGCCCTGTCCGGGCACAGGTGACCAAGAGGCAGTAACAGACAGCCTGTGTGGAAGGTACCTGCACACTGATGCTTAGGACAGACAGTAACACCCACTCCAAACCACCCTAATACAGGCATCTACTCGAACACCAAAGCACTCAGGGACTCTAATGTCTGTCTTCCTCCCACCTTGCCTGTGAGCCTCTTCGGTATTTACCACAACATCCCCATATCACCTTGGCCCATTGGTGCTCACCCAGTGCACATCCACGGTCTCACACCCAAGCAACAGAAGTCTCTAGAGAGGTGTTATCTGATTTAGTCTGAAAGAGGCAGATCAACAGCACCCATTCACTGCTGCAGTACCCAGTCCCTGTTGCGGCATAACTTCAACAGCCACAGCTTTCTGGGGAGGCATAGTAAATTCCATCATACACATGGCTCCCTTAATGCTAAAAGCCCCACAGAGCAGCCAAGGTACTGGCATCCACATGCACACAGCACCCCAACTCAGTGCAGTCTGCCTCCCTCCCTCACCAACTCTAACCCCCTCTTTCCTGCCTCACTCCAACCTGCAAGAACATTTCAAACTGTCTGTCTCAAACCACCCAGCCACTCAATCCTGCCCCAACACAATCACTGATCCCTAAAAGCCTTGATTAAGTGCAAAATTACCTGCTCCTCTTCTTCATGAGCACAGCAGCAGATGTAAAGCAGCAGGCAATATGGACGGCCTTAAACCCTGGCAAAAGTTTCTCACAGCTGTGGTAGCTAAGGGCCCTGGATGTGACTGTAGTGACTCCAGAACTCCTGAACGGGTGAGGCAGGAAGGGACCTCTTGTAGGTCACCTGGTCCGATGCGGGGGCTGATAAATTAGAATTGTGTAGGCTGTGTAACAGGACAAGTGTGGGGGCTGAGGCGAGAGCACGGAAGAACTACTGATTAGCCGACCATGGGACAGGCCAACATGCTGACATGGTAAGAAGCAGAGCAGAGAACTTGCTCTGTGTGGTCGGCATTTAATTCTGCCATTTGAGGAGAGTGAGGAACCAATGAAGAGTCACCACGACCACCATGGAAGTCCAAAGGAACCAATGAAGATTTGCCACGACTTGCTTGTAAAAGGTATATAAATCACGTGTGTGTAAAAAATAAACATCTCGGCTTCTCTCCTGAACTGAGTCTGTGTAATCAGTTGCCACAGTCCAACCCTTCCCTGCTCAAGCAGGGACACCTACAACCAGCTGCCAAGGGACCACGTTCAGATGACTTTTGAGTATCTCCAAGGTCGAAGACTCCATAACGTCTCTGGGCAACCTGTTCCAGGGCTCCAACACTCACACACCAAAAAAAAAAGTGGTTCTTGATGTTCACAGGCAACCTCCTGCGCTTCAGTTTGTGCCCACCGCCTCTTGTCCCATCACTGTGAACCACTGAAAAGAGCAAAGAGCCCGGCTCCATCTTCTTCACACACTCCCTTCAGGTATTTATATACATCAAGAAAATATTCCCCCCACCGAGACTTCTGCTCCCCAGGCTGAACTGTCCCAACTCTCTCATGATTTTCTCACATAAGAGGTCCCTCAGTCTCCCTGTTCATCTTGGTGGCCCTCCACTGGACTCCCTCTAGCATGTCTGTGCCTCTCTTGTAATAAAGAGCCCAAAAAAACTCCTGTGCTACAGACAAGAGCCCAGGGACCCTTATCACCCAAAAGTTCCAGATTCCCTGACACAGTAAAGAGGCCTCAGATAACCTAAAGTAAGTAAATGGCCCCCAAAAAACTGAGGAATGCACTAGAGATGCTAGCACAACATCAAGAGTCCCTGGAAAAGCCACCAAGACAAAAAAAAACATAGCTCCAAAGGCCCCATGATAGCTCTGGGAACACTGGGGAAGATCCCTAGAAGCAACACATGGCCCTAGAGAAATCCCTGTTCTGCTGACCACTTGCATGATATAGAAAGATATTGTCATTAACAGGCAGACCAGCAGCCAAACGCCTCCCTCTGCTACCACACCACACACCAGAGATCCAGAGTGCAGGACAGCAGGAGGGAGGAACAGGTCAGTGCACTCACCCACCACAGAAGTGAAGAAGGGAGCGAGTTGGGTGAGGAGCCAAGCCATGGGAGCAGCCAGGCCAGGAGCCATTATACAGCAGGGACTCAGAGAGAGCTGCACGTTCTGGCCCTGCCACCCTGGGAGCTCCACTTGCAGTGAAGAGTCAGGGAGCCCTTCCAATAGCTAAAATACTCACACAGCACATTCACTATACAGGCAGGCCTCCCAACCCCACTGCAAGCAGAATCAGCTCTTATAGAGGTGGTTTCCTGCCCCACCTCCAAGTTAATGTGGAAGGTGGGGGCACCTGGTGGGGATCTCCTTCTTGCCTGGCTGTGGACATCACCCATATGCCAACCCTCATTCAGAGCTGGATGTTTAAAACTCAGCACTTCAATCTTCCAGGGAGACACAGCATCAATGAGCCCACTTCTCAGCATCTACAGTGCTAGGAACATCCATCTCCTACAGCAGATCACAAGAGTGGCACTGAGGAGCTTTCGTGCTTATCCCAAACGAGCCATAGCACAACAATCTTCCATTAGCCCTAAGAGGATGATCAGGTATCAGTCAAATACATACTGTTCACCCGGAGATGTGCTGTACCAAAAAAACCCAAAGATACTAACAAACAAAACCCCCATACAGAAGTGTCTATCTCTGCTATCAAAGTTGTTTGACTTGATCACTTCCATAAAGCAGTACAATCAATTTGCAGAATTCCAAGGCACCTCAAATTTTTCAGTGATCTTCATTAACTTGTAGTTCTGAACAGAGAGGGTCATAGTATGAATTGCACTGCAGAAGCAAGTGTGTCTAACTGTGTCACAATGTTAGAATGCATAACTGGGGCACCACTAACAAGCTATTCCCACAGCAATTCAGCTCAGTTACTTCATCTCTTTCACCTTTTATACTCCATCCCAACATTGCATTCAAGTATCTGAAAACTTTGCCATTCCAAGGAAAGCACGAAGAAATCTATCAATTATCTATCTATCAATGCCTAAACCTTTTACAATGGAACTATGGCATTTGCCCCAGCCCTTGGAGAACTTTCATGTAAAAATTTAAAATATCAAGAAGTTTAAAAAAAATACATAAGAACTTGAAAGCAAAAGAAAACAGTCAAGCGAATCTGGAAGAAAGTGAAGGAATTTAGTTTCTACTTTGTTCCATTTATACAAATTAACTGAGATTCTTAAAAATTTGAAAAATGTAAACAGAAGTGAACTATTATCAGTAAGTAAAGACATATTTAACATTTAATCTTTTAATAGAAAGTACTTAAGTTAAATTTTAAAACAGTGCTGAGAACAGCAGAGCTCCGCTATAAATTTACAATCTGACAAGTATCTCACAGCATTCCTCATGCTTTATTTTTGGTTTTGCAGTTTAAGAAACTCAGAAGAAAACCTCAATCCATTCAGCAGACAGGAAGATAGTTAAACTCATTATCCAAGGATTTTCAAATTACTTATATGCTGCACAGTAGACAAATACTCAATCATCTCCCTCCGCTCCAGCCTCCCAGCCCACCACCTGCCGCCCCTGGCCAGATCCCTCAAAAATAGTATCTCAGTGCTTTGGATGAAATGATGACCAAGTGAATTGATTTTGTCGTCTCGGCAGTACTAAATCCAATGACAGGTCTCTTTGTTCTTTTTCTGAATCCACCAGCTGATAGCCAAGCATGTTTATAGCACCTCTGCAAACTTCCTGTATTTTCTTAATTTTCTGGAAGGAAAGAACATTTCTCCAGGCCTGTGAAACACTGACTGCATCTCGAGATGTGATTTTGAAGGCTTCCTTTTTTTTTCCTGGTCCCTCTCCATGTGTGATATTATAGATCCAGCTTTTGAGCACAGGGGTCAGACTAAGATCTGCAAATTTATACATTTCTGAGATTTCTGATAATGGATCTCTGACCAGATCTTCAAAACGGATCATTAAATAGCGATCTTTAAGGAAACTCGGTGGTTTTAGAGTCGCTGTTTCATAAATCTGAACATGACTTCTGCAGATCTCTTGCATTACTCTGTATTTGCTGTCTTCCACTTTAGTGCCATTGGTACTCAAAACAATGCCATTGTCACGGGCTAATGCTTTGACTGACTGTTCCCGTGACTTGACAACTGCCCTGGGGTCACGGACCAAGTGAATGATTTTGAGGTTCAAGGATGGATCTGTGAGAAGGGGATAGAGGACCTTCAAGTCAAAGAATCGAACCTCCTTGATGACAACATGGCTGTAAGTTTTGCAGGCTTCCTCCACCTTGCTGAATGGGTACCGTCCACAAAGAGTCTTGCATGCCATCTCACTGGTTATGTCAGTACGTTGAAAGAAGTCACAAGCAGGAGCTGAACACAAAGCCCGACTCACTGCCCACTGGAAAAGGTCAGATAAGTTTCTTTCCCAAGGCATGTAAGCATCAAACACAGACATATCACACAGAAAGACCGACCTGACTAGGTCCCGTACTGCCATGTGTAAGACTTTGGCACTGTTCTGGTACATGGTAACCCACACGTGCCACGCAGGCTCCATCAGGTAGAAGACACTGGGGTGCTGGCTGAAAAGCTGACCAACAAAAGAAGATCCCGAGCGCCAGGAAGAGAGAATGAGGATGTGGACTTGAGACGGTTTCTCCTCAGACTGAGGCATGAAGTTACTGTACCGGGCATACATGAAGAGCAAGAATCCAGTCTGAACCGCAACGAAAAGTACAACAAGGGTGCTAGGAATTCGAATCCTTGCCATTCTCACCGAGGAAAAGCAATCAAAAAAGCTGAAAAAGAGAAGGAAAATGCTGGTGAACCACTGTTCCTGCAGCACAACAATGACAAAACGCAGTACAAAATCTTGCATTAGTACAACCTTTCTTCAGATATGCATGTAGTGTTTCTGGCACTATTCACTTCCTTCATCTGTGGCACTGGGAGATGATCACCTGGCAAGTGGCAAGTGTCAGAAACTGAAAGAAAGTAATGTGTGACAACGAGATCCCAGCAGAACTGAGATTGGAGCAAATGTTTGATGCTGAACGAAACTTCAGGTTGATGCAGCTCAACTGTTGAAGAAAAAAAGAAAACTTCAGAATACACAAGGTCCTCAACTTGAACTCTGGTAAATACTGCCAAGGTAAACCACTGGGTCACTACTCACATTAGAGAGGCATGTAGCTAACTGCCAAGCTTACAAAATACAAACAAACAGTAAAAGGGATAAGCCCACACAAATTCTATGGAACAAACTAGAACAAAGCTACACATCAATTTCATCGAGCTGCTCTAACTCTGTTGTCATTTCAAAACAGCAATTAAAAGACCCTGGTTCACCTCAGAATGGTTGAGGTTGGCAGACACCTTGTGTAGGTCCATCTGGCACAACCCTTCCCTGCTCAAGCAGGGACACCTACAACCAGCTGCCAAGGACCACGTTCAGATGACTTTTGAGTATCTCCAAGGTCGGAGACTCCACAACCTCTCTGGGCAACCTGTTTCAGGGCTCCAACACTCACACACCAGAAGAAAGTGGTTCTTGATGTTCCCAGGCAACCTCCTGCGCTTCAGTTTGTGCCCACCGCCTCTTGTCCCGTCACTGAGAACCACTGAAAAGAGCCTGGCTCCACCTTCTTTACATTATCCCTTCACATATTTATAAACACCGATAAGAACTCCCAGTATTGGCCTCTCTTCCCAGTTTCCTATCATCAGCAAACTTGCTAAGGTTACATTCTTCCCCATCATCCAGATCATTAATGAGAACACTGAACTGACCCCTGCGGTACACCACTGGTCGCTGGCCTTCACCTACTCATCATTCCACTGACAGCCACCCTGGGGGCCTGGCCTTCGGCTGGTTTTTAATCCACCTGACTGTCCACGCACCCAGCCCATACTCTGTCAGCCTCCCTACACAGTAACATTTATTGTTTTCACTTTGAGAAGTCTTTTGTTTGTTTAAATTGCAAAACGACAAAAAAAAATACACAGGTGTATTTCCATATTTCTGTCTGAGAGGATAGTAACGGAGTAACAAATAGAACAGGGTGCTCATAAATAAGCTTATTTTTCAGAACCAGGTTCACAAGCAAATTCAAAGCCATAAAAAGAGCATACTTTTTTACAAGACCCAGAGGTCAATATATTTACTCAAATCTCTACTAATACATCCAGACAAGCATGGAAAAAGTAGCTCAGTCTGCCCTTTCTGTCCTAGCAATGGTGTCTGGAGAGCAGACAAATATGCCACTCATTTTTGGCAGCGGGATGGCGGGGCAGGGTGTCTGTAGGCCAAATACACTGCAAGCTGCTTTTTGTATTTTGCTGCACAATCAATGTGAAAACTGTATTCTGAAGGGAATTAAAGAACGACAGGTATAGTCTGGTCTACAAACTGATACCTTGGCACTTCACTAAATCACGAAATGTATGCTACAGAATTATTACGCCCTTGGTGCAGCTCCAAGATTTCCTGACTGGGATGCCAGCAAGTACTGACTCTATATGGGACCCATGACTTTTTTTTTCAGAGCATCATATTTTGCATGCTAATTTGCCCATAATAATTATTCAAGACAGTTTAACAGAATACAATTAAGGTGTGAATATCAAGCACAAAGACAGCCAGTCACTACTGTAAAAGGAATACTCAAGTGATTATCACTCCTCAGCCTAGAAAAGAGGGTCCCTAGACAGGGAAATCACAACTGAACTGGGAAAAGCAACTCCAAAAATACTCTCTGATGATTGCTCAAAACAGGAAAACTGGGAGAATTTAATTAAATGATCATTCATGACTGAACCTTTTTGTACACTGCATCATAAAAACGTGAAACTCTGCCCCAGAATGTTGTGGCAGCAAAAGTATACAAGAGTTCAACAATTACATCAATTGAAAGTAGTGGAAGAGCCTCTCAAAGACTGCTAAATGCAGAGATGAGGCTACAGTCAGTGGCTCAGCCATTCCTTAAACTGTAGATGGCTTGAGGTATCTGCCCACGTCTGGGAGGTATCTTGTATTGAGTCTCATTTCCTGTATTATTTAACTTTTTTCCCTAGCAATCCACTGCTTGCTACTGTCAGACACAAGATCAGATAGATAAAACTGGTTTAATTCGGCATGGCCATTCCTCACAGATAAAATTTGCATCTTTAAAATACTGATTTTTTGCATACTGTGCCACCAGAAGCATCTACAAGTTCCTCTACGCTATGAGGAGTACCAGCAATCCAGCAGCCTGTGCTGACACTTCGCCAGACAGGTGATGAAAGAATCTAACCAAAAAGTGGAGAAGCAATTGCATTTCCTAGTTCAAGGAGTTTTCCTGAAACAGATTATATGCCTGGAAACCAGACAGCCATAGCTACTTCAAACCTTTTTCTTGCCTGCAAAACATTAGCCATTTTCTGCACCAAGGCTGCATTCTGCAGTGCCTCACATTCTAACCCATAACACAGCTTTTAGAGACCAAACGATGCTTTTTGAAGAGTGTCTACTCCACCTACACAGGATTGCTGCTCCACTCTAGCCAAGATGACTGCAGAAATGCAAACACTAATTATTCTTCAGACTTCATTGGCAAAGGGTGGGGGAGCTAGGAATAAAACCATCTACATGTCAAACCAAAAGACAGGTTTTTAAATTCACACCTGCCTCGAATGGCTCTTGGACCTCTCCTTGCTCCAATTCCCACCCAAGTACTGTTGCAAACAACACCGTGCCAACCAGAAAGCACCTAACACGAGTGTTGGCCCGTGTTTTGTGTTGGAGCGAGTCAGCACACCGTTAGCACTACCAATGACACCTAAAGTGACTGCAGCTAGAGTATTTGCCTACTCTTCAGTATGACAAAAACTGAAAGAAAAAATGCAGCATCAAAGTAAAGCACTAAGTAGACATCCATTTTCAGTATTTAAGATTCATCTTCTGTGCTCTGGGGAAAGTTGGGATGTTTCTAAGGAATATATACACACGCAGGCACCACAAAGAAATGAATTATTACACAAGAAAGCGCAGCTTCCCTAAGAGGACTCCTGTGGGCAGTTTATGGTGCATGAGGCCAAATACACACCCAGCATTGGATTTTCTTTGCAAATGCTGCCTTTTGCACAAGTGTAAATTCCATTTATGTGTGAATACCCTTTTACCATTTGAAATTGCATTCTGCATTTCAGCCTGGGTTAAATTTACAGCTCTTTAATGTGCAACTTTATAACCCACCATGCGCTTTCATGATTTTTTTGACAAATGTTAGGTGAGGCAGAAAGCAGCCCTTGAATACCCTTCTCATAAACTTGATGAATATACACACGCTTTATATTTATAAATCCACTGAACAGATTACATGATATCACTGCCTTAACTGTGAGGGACAGGACACCGCAACACAGGCTGCTCCTGCCGATCCTCTATTTTTGCCATCACAGGACTCAGCAGAGGGTGCTGTTAGGCAAGCTGGCTCTTTCAGCACAGAAAGGCAATATGGTAAAATTTCATTAGTTACTAGGTGAAACACTCCCTGCTCTGTGACTCACCTTGCATCACACCTCACCTATCTGCCTCTGCCTACAGCTTAGCGGCTCCACTTGCACATCCCAAACTCCCCTCAGGAAAGGCAAAAAGCGTTCCTGGCTCCTCTTCCTTCTCTGCCTCACAGCAGTGCTTCCTTATGACTGCACCTGCCTGATGGTAACAGGCCTGCTGACTAAAAACGTGGGGTGAAAGGGAGACGCACCAGAGGGGACAGATGTCCTTGCATTACTGCCACTTCAGCTGCCATCCCAGGGACAGGTAAACCCTCTAGCAACCACCTCCCCAGTGACCAATGAAATCAGACTGAGCAGAAGCTCCAGAGGGAGCTACAAGAGGTTGAAAAAAAGCCTGAGTGACACCAAGTTGCAGCACAGCACACTCCCAACATCTTCTGCATCTCTCACCTGAGATGTCTGAGGCATTGCAATACTTGGTTGTATCACAATACATACTTTTGCACATAAAGAATTCTGCTACGCTATTTTAATAACAGCTATAATGTTATTCCTTCCCTGTGGTAGTAGTATTAACGACGAACAAATTCTTGAGGAAGAATCATCTCTGCACAAGCCAATACAAACATTCAAAACGTCATCTGAAAACCATCTGCACGTATGGTTTATCTGGGAGTCCAGATTCAAGCTCTGTCACTGGCCTTGTCCACTAACGGCTACTAATGGAAACAAGATCCTGGACTAGATGAACTCTGCCTCAGAATAACTATCCTTACATACTGTGCAAAGGAAATTTATTGTACAAACTGGCCAACAAAGCAGTGATTTTCTTCTTCACTTAAGCTGGCTGTGACAGAATGCTGAGCTGCAGGGCCGCTAGGATCTGCCACTGCTTGCCAAGAGACTAAATACATTACAAAAAACTATCCAGTTTTACCAGGCAGAGTGGAAATACAAGTGAGCAGTAGTACTGGTCCCAGAAAGCTTGCTTTCTCAACGGTATTTTTTGGACCCAGAATCACTAAAAAGAATGGAGGAAGAAAGAAAGAAATTGTGCAGTGGATGATCATTGAGCTCTTGCTTTCAAGGACTTTCATTTGTCACGTAAGACAAATAATGCAGGAATCAAGTAATCATAGCTGTGCAGGTCAGCATGGAAAGGAGCATAATTGTTCAGTGAACTTCCTTTCAGTATAGAATTCAACTTGAAGAGACCTAGTAGATTAACAGAAATTAACTTTATAGCTAAAAACAAAACCGAAAAGACACCTAACCAAAAAACCCCATACCCTCC